AAAAGTATTTTTAACAATTAAAATTTGCCCCAGTTGTAGCTTTACTGCTTGTTACAAGTGGAAAAAAGTGGTTATCAGTTATCAATGAATGATTTGAGACTTATGTCATGTAAAGAAAGAGAATTCAGTGCCAAATTATTAATTAATTTTAGCAAACTTTATTAACAACGTTCAACCACATGTGCTGACTGTATTGACAGCAAAGGCAGCTGCTAATAAGTACTTAGTAACATTCAATACTAGAATTTCACTCACTTGAATTGGACCACAAACTTGTTGGACAGGTTGTTAATACAATTCAGCAGACCTTTTAAATCATTTTAAATACTCATATAAAGAAATACTCCAAAACATACCAACAGGAGTTCTGGCATTTGAAGCCTAGCAGGGAGCTGGTGGCTACAGCCATGTTTGTCAACTTCTGCCTGTCAGTGAAGTCAACCACACTCCAGATAGAATTAAACTTTAATAGAAATTTAACAAGTTGTGAAAACGGTTTCAGCCCATGTAGAGTTGTTGGGGAAAGTTGGCTGCGTAAACTGCAACCATGTTTTGTACCAGACTTGATTTCTGCTCTAAAGTTGGTGTTTTTACATGGGAGTCTTTATAGATTGACTTACTTTTCGAAGTCTTTAAGTAGACATTTAAAGGACTGTAGTTTTTGGCACTTAATCATTTTTCAGTCAGCAGTTGATTACTGTGTGATGGTTTTGCCTGTGTATGCACTAATAGGTGATGAATGGTGACCAGGGAATCAAAGGGGAAAAGGGAGAGGCGGGGTTCCCAGGGATTTCAGGTATCCCTGGAAGATCAGGACCCGTGGTAAGTTTTATGCATCATGGTATATTTTTGAAAGAATAAACCTTAAAGTGTTAGTAATTCTGTCCTTTATATATTTTAGGGGCCCAAAGGAGAATCAGTGGTCGGCCCCCCTGGCCCCCCTGGGCCGCCAGGGCCTCCTGGTATACCAGGCTATGGCAAGCCTGGTCTTGTTGGACCTCCTGGGCCACCAGGACCTCCAGGGCCCTCTGGGTCATCCTTGAGATATGGTTCAGGTAAAACTCATTTAACTGCAAATATAATAAATATAATCGTCTGAAGGATGTATAGTTACTGTAACTAATGAAATAAAAGAATCACTTGCTATATTCTACATGGAAGATACTGAGATCTTTGTTATTGCAGGTCTGACCATTGCTGGCCCCCCAGGCCCTCCTGGACCTCCTGGACCACCTGGACCTGCTAGTCCTTCAAGTAACACAGCGTCTGTAAGTCAGTTTATCTGTGGCTGAGCTATATATTAATATGACACCAGACCCGTGATTCTTCTAACTGATTTTTTTCTGCGCATTTTGTACTTTTCCACATTTGCTTCTCAGCTGAAAACATTTTCGACTCGTGAGAGTATGATGCAGCAAACAGTGAAAGATGCAGAGGGCACTCTGGCATTTGTTACAACGACAGGAAGTCTCTTCCTTAAAGTTTCCCAGGGATGGAAAGAGATCCAGGTACTAATTTACAATGGTGCTTTATCAGTTTGGTAAAATCGGTTTACAGAAATACTTTCATGTTCATATTAGTACACTGGTCACAGAACAAACTGCTCTCCATCATGATCATGAATAACACATCTCACCTGCTCAACGTCACCCTAATGAGGCAGCAGAGCTCATTCTCACTCATACTGATTTAACCCTTCTCCCATAACGCTTCAGGAAATCCTTTCTACCTTTCTATGTGAAACTGTACAGTAACTCTTCTTTCTGTGACAGGTGAACACACCTGTCAGACATAAACTTCCACACACATATTTCTGTATTATACCCGCTCTTGCAGCAGTTTCTTGGATTTCTAGTGTACATATTATTAATTCAATTCACACTACTCGCTTGCACAATATCAGTCTTACTTTTTGCTCTTCTTTAACTTAACCTCTTTATTTTTTATTTTCTTTGGGGTTTTTTTTTTATCACTGTTGTATATGTGAACTTTTTGGCTAAACTCACACTATAAGATTCTCCCTCTGCACCTGTGCCACTTCAACTACACTGTTTATTTTTTTTAGATTTCTTTGTCCTGCTGCTGTAAGACAATAATTACCTTTGTAGGATCAATAACATCTTTCTCGCTCTCTCTCTAAATAGCTAAGGTCAATGCACTGGAACATGTGATTTAACTGCAGAAAGTTCAGAATAAGACGCACTTGATCCTTTTAGTCTGATATTTGGACTTGTATAGATGCTGGAAACAGTTTTTTGAGGTCCAAGTTTTTTTTTTTCCATTAAACTAATAAATGATTAATGACCTGCAAACAGGAAAAAAAACAGAAAATATTACTGAATCAAATCATTATTATTGATTTAAGAGCAACGTGAACTCAAATACATCAACTTTTGGTATATATTTTCCTAACTTTATACTTCTGTTTTGTTCACACAGCTTGGCAGCCTGATCTACCTCGCCAATAACATTATCCCACAAGATGAGGTACTTATTGCATAACCTGTCAATATAAAAAAAATGCCTTTGTGGAATTTGGTGTTAGAGTATTCATCTCTCTAACATTGATTTTCAATGATTCATTTAGCCTCGAGCCTCACATCATGTAAGAGGAGACACCATACAAAGAATACACTCTGTTAAAGGCAGGGTGAGTGCTTAATTATCATCGAAGCCCTTGTGAAGAGATTTGTTTTAGTTGTCTCTTGAACAACCTTGGATTAACACTGATCTGTTCCGTCTTCTCCCTGAAGCTCAACCTGGTGGCGTTGAACCAGCCTCACTCAGGGGACATGATGGGGCTTGACATGGCTGACCGGATGTGCTTCGAGCAGGCCAAGGCGATGGGTTTGGCTCCCAACTACCGTGCCTTCATTTCATCCCACAGACAAGACCTGGTTCACGTTGTCTATCCAGGTTTCCGGCAGACTCTGCCAGTTACCAACCTCAGAGTGAGTGCTGCTTTTTACTGTCAAACAACCACTAGCATCAAAATTTCATCATGTCCGAAGCATATGTTTTTAAATGTATCAAACCCGCTATGTCTGACCACAGGGAGACATGATGTTTAGGAATTGGCGCTCAATTTTCACTGGCAATGGGGGGCCGATCAATACCAGAATACCCATCTACTCCTTTGATGGCCGGGATGTCTTAGCTGACCCCTTCTGGTTTGTACACTTCATTTACTGAATTTGTTTCTTGGAGTCTGTTCATCTGTCTACAGCAGTGATATTTTCTGTTCTCTTTGCATTAGGCCTCAGAAGAGTGTTTGGCACGGCTCTACCAGCCAGGGGCTCCGCGCAACAGACAAGCACTGCGAGACATGGCGAGCAGACCATGTATCCGTCATGGGCCAGTCATCAAGCCTGACCTCAGGTCTGCTCATGGGTCAGGAGACTCGAAGCTGTTCCAACGAGTACATTGTCCTGTGCATTGAGACCCACAAAAACCCGTAAACCACCCTGTCCCTGAATACCACTCATGCAAGGAAACCCATCCGAGCCTCCACTGAAGTTAAAACCTCTGGAAAAAGATCTGAGCACCCCTCTTGGAAAAACGATGTCGCTTTCTGCACATCTTTGGTTCTACGTGTAGCATTTTGTGTTCTTTTTTTTTTCCGACTCCACTTTCACACTTACAACATGAATGTTACTAATTCTGACACCTTTCCCTCTACTGGCATCACACAAAGGGTTTGAGGCAGTAACAAACTGCTGACATCAGCAAAGTATCTCCTGGGAAGGTAAGCTAATATTAGGTTGTTGCTACACTCTGGAGCTGAAACTAGTTTGTGAACTGCTTAGCAAAGAAATGAAGAGAAACGACCCTTCGTGTTGTAAAGCAATCCAAAAGATTTCCAACTTGGCATATACAATACTGTAAAACCCAGGACAGATGCTAACATGGGCTGCTAATCTTTTTAGCATCCTTCATACTTAATAGTCTAACATCTCAAATGCAATGTGCTAAGGATTTAGTCATCTTAAAATGATACACGCAGCACCCAGAGTTTTGTTTTTGTTTTGTTTTTTCAAGAAAGGTGGCAACAAGACACATCTGTGTTATATTATGCGAACCATACATAAAGTAACACTCATGGGTTTTCCCCTCAGTTGTGCAGGCGTGTTGAGGATGAGAGAGGTCCTTTTTTTTTCGTAGTTCTTCAGGAGACTGGAAGTAAAGGCTGAGGTTGGCTGCAGGAACCTGCACCTGCCCTGAAGTGTGGCAGTCCAAAGACTTTTCCAATGGAAGTGTAAAAGGCAACTTACATATTTTTTTCTATGTTTACAGGTTGTCTTGAAAGGTTTTAAACCAATTCAGGAAAAAAAAAAGTTCTATTAAGACCAGAACTCTTCACAAACAACACGTCCCTCGGACAACCAGTGTTGCCACCAAAGTAACTTTTGATGCACTGTACTTCATTTTTTATATTTTCTAGCTCAATATTTTCATTCTTTAAAACGTGTTTGTCTTGTAGCTTTTTCATCTTATCAGCTCTTTCTCTTAAGGGTATTTAATTTAAATTCAATGATTTATTTATACTGTCACAGCACATAACAAGAAATCAGATGGTTAAATTTAAGAATGTAATTTATCATGTGTTGTTTGTCAAATGACTGTTTCTTCTAACTTTTTGCCTGTTTTCTTTCTTTTTTTATTTTCATATGTTGTCTTTTCATTGTTTTTTTTCTCAAGTTTGGAGAATTCTGGAGAACATTAGCAACATCAAAAATAATTTCCATCCACTGTAAAAGTGCCATTAAAACAAATCATTCAGTTTTATGTTGGAAAGAAACCCTAGAAACTGTCTAAGGTCAAAGTGAAAGCATGTGTTTTGTATAGATATTGGTGCTTTATGTTGAATAAAGACTTTTCATAACTTGTGTTTCTTTCATTCTTATTTTAGAAAAAAAATTAAATCCTGTGGTTATTTAATCTGCTTCAAGATTTTGATTTTATAGCACAAAGACTTTATGCATTGGTTCAGTTGTATCACTGCTGTCAACCTGCCAATTAAGAAAGATGTGTTTGCTAATTCAAGTCAGTGCATGATGCTTTTAATATTAGAGCGTGACCAAAACAGGATTTTCTAGACCATATCTGATATTTGATTTTAGAAATCAGATATATTGAATTTATATTTTTAAGACACATGAAAGATAAGCAAATTTGAAAATTATTATGTGTAGTTATGTATTTATTGTTTACGATGTGTCCAGCTTTACTTGGATCTGTTGGATGAGGTGCTTGTGGCATTGCAAATGCTCTGTTTTACTTTGCTGAGTGCCTTGTGGTGGATAAACCATGCATCCTCAACAATCATAATATGACTGAAGGGTGTTTCTCTCATCTCTTCTCAGCTTTCTTGCCTTTTTAATTTCCGTTTATTTATTTGATTTGTTATAGATGTTAACCGTCATATGTTGGCAAATGGCTAGCGTCAATTCTAATATATTAACCTTCCTGATGTAAATCGCGCTTTATTATTGGCCATCTGGAAATATCACAATATGTATTTTAGTCATAAGAAATTGAAGTTTCCAGTCCTTTTCAAGGTAATATTTTAAAGTTGTCAACTCACACCTACCCCAGACTGTTCACTGGGGAAAACCTTTAGTTAGCAAGACAAAGGGTTATAAGTATAATGACCCCTGCCTGCTGCCTATTGCTGAGGGGAACTCAAGATGGAACAGAGTTCAGCCCCTGTCTATGGCACTGGTTCCAAAGTTCTCAGAAATGCATTGATATTAGCCTGACTATATCTAGGTAATCTCTGAGGATCTCTGGAGAGCAGGTGACTAGAAGTGCTATCCATCATGAGGTTTCCTACTAGCCTTGTCACCACCTACTGGATGGAACATGGGGCACATTCCAGGGCAGACTGATTCACTTATTTTGCCACAGGGACAGATTTTAAAGGGCTTTTTTTTTTTTTTTTTTTTTACAGCACCTTGCAGTTTGTGGTGCAATAACATAGGGATTTCTCAACTTGGCTGGTGGTATAAATAAAGTATGTAGTATCTTACACTAAACACAGATATTGAATCAGTTATGTACAGCAGCAGTTCAGGCACATAAACAAACAGTAGAAAACAGATGACGCACAGAGGAAGAGGTGCTTCTGCACCCGTGACATTGTGCATGACTTTCAAAATCAAGCCTTCATGCACTTCACTTTTTAACACAGCTAATTTGAAGTCCTGATGGATGTTTTGCTTCTTGTATGATTATTGAATAAAACAATCTTGAGTTTAGAAGAAATGTTAATTTGCTGCAGCCCTACCTCTTCAGTAGTAATAGTTATGCTATAAGTACCTTTGCTGCACTGAATGTCATTCTGAGTTCGCGTTGCACTGGAGGTTAAAGGCTTTGCAAACACAATCTAAATATGGTTCTTCAAACAAAGGTTACAAAGATCTGGCACGGAAGGAAAAGCTAACCAAATAGCCAAACCCCTTTGCCTTCACATAATAGAGCAGCAGTTGTGGGGTAATAGAGTTTGCTCTTATTTTTACTTTGACAGCTTTTGCAAGGTTTTTGGACATGAAGGCATTCAAGGTGCTGTGACACTATTACACTTTTATTTTTGTGTAAGTTCAGTGTAAGTGTGCTTAATCAGTTGCTTTAACTTTATTTAAAGGTTCTGTTTGCGCTTCTCCTGACTGCAGCAACAATTGACGGGCAGTCTTTTCATGTTGGCAAGTGCCTGAAGCCATCTGTTCAAGAAGACTTCAACGTTACAAAGGTATAATATTGAATTATTAGTGCTATTAATGACTACATTCTGCTGAACTTTGATTTCTAACCTTAAACTGTGTGCAGGGTGTTCAGCTCTATTAGGCCTCGCTTTATTTTATGTTTTAGGTTAATTGGAGGTAGTTGTTTTAATGAAGGAAAACACTGTTACTGGTGGACTCCGTGTGGTCATAAAATAAGAAGAAAATTTCTTCTGTCTTTAGTATATGGGTACCTGGTACGAAATTGAGAAGCTTCCAGCTGTGTTTGAAAGAGGAACATGCAACCAAGCTACATACAGTCTTCAGTCCGATGGAACAGTCAAAGTTCACAATGCGGAGCTCCTGTAAGGTTTCAGCTGTTCTTCTGCTTTGCAAAAAATTCTTATTTTTGGCCAAAAATGTGCCTATAACTATCTAGGTGAAACTACTACCCTACCCTGCAAAGGAATAAATATTGATTGGTGTCACCCCATGTGCTCTTGTCTAAATTACAGGTCTGATGGGACGATAAACTCAATTGAGGGAGTTGCCAAAGTTAAAGAACCATCTCAACCTGCTGTTCTAAGTGTCAACTTCTTTAAAGGTACTTTTTTGAACACAGCTTGTATATTTTAATGAAATAAAAATATAAATACAAAGTACTTTCAGTGGTACTTTTTTTAAAATATACAATCTGTGTCTATATCCAGGTGTTGCAGATGGTCCCTACTGGGTGCTCTCCACAGATTACCAGTCCTATTCTTTGGTGTACTCTTGTTCTGACTTCTTTGGAGTTTTTAACATTGACTTTGCCTGGATCCTGGCTCGCACTCGTACGCTGACTGAGGATGTCATCAAACAGTTACATGAGAAGCTGACTGCTGCGGGTGTCAATGTAAATCGCCTTGAAGTCTCCAACCAGACTGCTTGTGATGTTATGGTTATGACCTGACCTTATCTGACCTCTAAAAATTGAACTAAAAAACTACAAAGTGCTGATTACCTGTTTGAGCTGTAATAATAATAATAAGAATGGATTGCATTTATATAGCGCTTTTTGGGGCCCTCAAATCGCTTTACAATTCCACTATTCATTCACTCTCACATTCATACACTGGTGGAGGCAGCTACAGTTGTAGCCACAGCTGCCCTGGGACTATGATATTAATGTGTTGATAAAATTTCAGAATATGATAAATAAAATGCAAACACTTAATAGAAGCTAAGCTACTCTTCGATGCATGACTCTTTTTTTTGCATTTGAAGTTTGTTCCCTTTTTCCACCTTTTCAGTATTAGCTTATTGTGTAAAGGCGTTTAATTTGACTAAAAATAGAATATCATCCATCTAACAGCATGAATACAACTTTAAATACTGTCAAAATGGGATGCAGTTAAATATGTTTATTCACTTAGATTTTTACTATTTTATAGTGGCAAAATTTGTCACTGGGCCAGAATGCAATCCCATTGCCCTGCGAGCTGTTATAACGTACACAAACCGTTCCCACCACACCACACCACACACACACACACACACACACATCATATCAAGACATCACTACATATAAATATATTATATATTATATATATAGTATATATATATATTGGGTTATATATATATAGGCGTCTTCATATATAATATGAAACATGTTTTTGGCGTAATTTAGTGCTTGAGCACTGGAGGAAGTAATCATTTATTTATTTATTCGGTGGGTTATTATTAACAGATCGTTCCAGGCGGGAGGGATGCTTTTATTTTGAAGAAGACAATCCGGTTTTTACGTAGCTGTATGCGTGTAAAAGTGGGCGGTACCGCTTTAAGTAGCTACCAATGACTGTGGTAGCAACGCGAGGCTCGCTGATTAGTATCTGTCGAAGACTTTTTCTGGCATAAAAACTGTTTAATAGCATTTCTTTTACCCGAGAAGACCTTTTTCAAAACTAGAAATATGTGCTTGCTCTTGCTGTGCGTTTTTCTTTCGTGTTTGCCATTTTATTTATCAGCCCAGACTGATAGACAAAACGAAAAACCCATAATAGGTAAGTTAAGGCGTCATTAAAACGATATTTACTACAACTGTTATGTAAGCGAACTTGCAGCTTTACACTTGGGAAGCATCGGGCGACAGTTACAGTAAACCTGCCGTAACACAATAAACTTTTTGCTGTTTCTGTATCACTATGGAAAATGCCAGCATTATAACAGAAGGACATGTGCGCTGTGTTTTTGTTCCAACAGGTGTACTGGCACATGACGTTTATTTACCCCAACCTAGCCAAACAGCTTACATAGCTGCCTCCTATGTGAAGTTCCTGGAGTCAGCAGGAGCTAGAGTTGTACCTGTCATGTGAGCTGTTATCATCTGCCGACATTACGTCTGCATGTTATTATCTGACTGCATACTTTGTCACACTTTTATAAGAGGAGGTGTTGCGTAATGGTGTGTGTCTAACCCAGTGTGTTTGCATTGAACTTCTTGCTTCTGCAGGATAAATCAGACACTGGAGGACTATAAGACACTGTTCAACTCAATCAATGGGTCAGTACATATACAGTTAGACAGTTGGAGCCCTGTTTGGTGGATTTAGGGCTTTTCACAAACAATAAAAGGTGTGATTGGATCTATACTGTAGGGATGAATAACTACAGAGGGATAAAGATGCTGAGTCATTGCATGAAAATATGGGAAAGCCTTATTCAAGCTAGGTTAAGAAGACAGGTTGCGATCAGTGAGCAGCAGTGTCCTGTGTTGATACATGGTTTATAGATGTTGGCACTAACAAAAAGACAATACGCTGAGCTGAGAACCAACCAACCATTTTCATTAGGAGTTTGGTGTAAGGGTACTAGGGCTAACGTCAGTTGGAGGCAGGTGATGTGCTGTAGTGAGCCCTAAAGGGAAGAGCTGAAAGAAGAAGAGTTTACCATAAGTTGATGGTGATTAATTGCTAGGTATGTGAGTTATATATCAATAATTATAGATTAAATAAATATTATATTTTTTTCAGTCCTTATCCATTCATTTAGATAGATGCATTTTTAATACATTGTTGTTAGTATTACTAGTATTTTTTAATTGATCAGCACTGCCTGCATAATTGGTGCATCCACTTAAAAATATCTCATTTAAAACCGCAACATATCAGATTTTATGGTATATTTATCTTATTTCATGTTTCTCATTTTCTTCTTTAATTTTGACTCAGTTTTCTTTGTTTACAGGATCCTTTACCCAGGCGGCGGTGTCAGCATTGTCTCATCTGGTTATGAAAGGGCTGCTAAAATCTTTTATGAGCTCGCTATTGAGGTAAAGGTTGAAAATACTTTTATCTGTTTAATGATGCTCATTATGATGTATATTAATAAGGGTGGATCTGACAGCCGGTTGTTGGTGTTGCTGCTATAGCATCATATTATGTTGTTTGGAAGACTAAAATAATGATGGCTGGGGCTAGGCGGTGTGTTGGTTTGTTCAACGCTAAACTGGTCAACTGACAAATACCTGCTCTGGATTTAAAATTGTAGTGTAAATATATTATTATAAGTTACGTAAATATTAAGATACTGTTTTTGCATCTGACTGAAAATCCGTAACATGCAGTCCGTTAAGGATTAAGAACAGATTATTGTTTTGGCTGTATGGTTTTATTTTTATTTACACATGGTCATACAAAGACATTTAGGAATGAGCACTGCAAATGTACATGAAGTCTTACTCAGACAAGACACTATTAATAAAAATAATAATTAAAAAAATATTATCATGACACACTGCTAGAATCTGTGCAGATTCTGCTTGAATCTAATGAACAGTTCCTTGGTGTGATGCCATTGCTTTGTAGCTCAGGATTGTAAATGACAAATCATGGAAGTATGATGAAGTGACAAATCCCACGTAAACTAATAAAGAGTAAACCAAAATCAAAAGTAAAGGTGAAAATATTTAAATTAATTAACTTTAGTTAAGTTTAAAAAGAAAAGAAAAAGCTTTGTGTTGGAAACACCAATATCTGTATAGCTGATCTGTGAGAAAGCCTGAAATTTAACTTCTCCTACGTGCGGCCTTTTCACCCAAACTGCAGAGTTGCTACATCATAAAAATGTGATTGATCAGTCTCCGTGACAGCCCTGGATCAACACTGATTATCATGTTTTAGGGCAACACCAACACTGTCATTACAAAGTGTCATAACAAAGAGTGTGAATTCTTTTCAGGCAAACAAGCGCGGCGACTATTTTCCTGTGTGGGGTACTTGTCTCGGGTTTGAACAGCTGATGTATTTAACAAGCAAAAATACAATACTGGCATATACCAATACGAGCGGCGCGACATTGCCTCTGAACTTCACTAATGGTATGTTTTGTGTGACTAAACATTTTTCATTTTGCTTCTCACTTGTGAAACGGTAGTAACCTGTTTTTCTTGGGGTGTTTTTTGCAGCATTGCAGGTATAGTATAAACTGTGAAAGGAAGAGATTTATTTTCTTAACATGAATGAAACTAGATTTTAAAACAGTTTTTCAGTGAATAAATTAAATATTATAGGTGACTGAAATAGTAAAGACTTTAAAAATCCATCTTTGTGTTTTAAACTTGATCAGTTTTCATGTCAAGCCTGTACCAACCACACATTATCTGAGGATCATATCTTTAGATTAACTACCTTATACAGCTAATGAGAGAGTGCTTATTTGTTTGTAAAATTGCTGATTAATCATTAAGGTATGCTCCCTTCCCAAAAGCTGAAGACAGCAGGATGTTTAAAGGCTTCCCTGCTCAGCTCATGAAAGATCTAGCCTCTGAGCCACTGACGGTTAACTCTCACAAATGGAGCTTGGGAATGTTGGTATGTCATTCATTTCTATCGTCTGAGATTAGACTGAGTCAACAGCTTGATGAAAAGCGGCAGTTGCTTGAATGCAGTCTAACTAACCTGTCATGTCTATTGCTTTCAGACTTACAATACAAATGAGGAACTGAAGAAGTTTTACAAAGTTCTCTCTGTAAACACAGATGGAAATGTAGAGTTTGTGTCAACAGTGGAAGGTACTGAGTGTCTAATTCAGCATTATGTTACTAGGTTTTTAGCAAAATAGGACACTTTTTTTAAAATATTCTTTTTCTTCTTTCTGTACCTCTTGGCAGCATATGACTATCCTATTTACGGGACACAGTGGCATCCAGAGAAAAATGCTTTTGAATGGACACGGCCTTCTATTCCCCATTCCCCGTCGGCAGTCAAGACCACCTTCTATATGGCCGAATTCTTTGTCAATGAGGGTAGGAAAGCATCATTTTTGCTTCCTTGTAGACTGGTCAGTAGCTGAAAATGCCAAGTGACTTGTGATGTGTAAATTTGGTATTGTTTTCTCTCGCCACAGCCAGGAAGAACTTTCACAAATTTGAAACTGAGGAGGGGGAGAGCAAAGCGCTGATATACAACTACAATCCTGTTTACACTGGGACTAAAAGTGCCTTTGAGCAAATATATTTCTTCTGATGAATTTTAGCAAAGTGCCACTCCTATTCAGCAGCTAATTCGCTGCTTCAATCATGACTTGAAAATATTTACACATAATTTAACTTGTTTGATTTTGTATTTGTGGTACTGTGCATCTGTGTAAACTACAGCTGAATTGAAATGGAAAAATTTATGCAGGCAACATAAATATTGGTATAGTGCAGGATTTAAATGGATGTTGTGCTTTGTGGATGTTGTAGCTTGGTTTACAGTTGTGTTGCTGTATTTTATTACACTGTCAGGCTCAGGGCTCAGTTCCCCTCAAAATAGTGAAGAGTTAGCTCGTGAGTTGAGTTGAAAGTACTTAGATGTGATCTAATATGATAGCAACTGTAAATTATTTGACAGGTTAACCTAGCTTCTAGGTTGGAGCTGAAGTGCCTCAAGGACACGTTTTATTTAATGATCAGCAGGTGGCCAAAATAAATCAGATTTTATAAATGTTTCTTATAAATTAGAACAAACAATAAAGCAGGACATGCTTTAGGGGGTGGCTAACTTCTGTTGAATACCTCCTCAATATATTAGTCTGTTTCCTCTGATTTTCAGGCGTGCCAAGTCTGGTTCCCAAAAACCAAGATGGCAAACTAACAAGCTCAAGCCTTCAAAATTATAGTCCACAAACCAATGATCACTGTCCAGTGTTTGTCCAGTCTGATGTCACTGGCCATTTCTGGGTGACCGTGCTTCTTCAGTTTCTAAAACAAAAAAGCACTAAAGCAGCACTAACAGATGGAAATGGTCCAAATTCTTGGGCTACTATTAAAGTATTATGTAAACTATGGGAGACCATGGCAGTATGCTAGTGACTAAAACAAGGTTTTTGCCACAGCACCCTCTCTGACAGATTTCACAACCTGCGATGAACCAATTATGGATGCACTGAATGACTACTCAGTCATGTCTCCAGGTGTTTATGTCTGCAACAGAGCAAGTCTTAACCATCCAGATGTAATGTCTACTACCTCATGACTAACTTGAGAGCTACTGTTAGCATAATGTAAACACGTTAGTACAGGCAAAATATAGACTGAGGGTTAAGTTATTTTAAATAAAATAACTCAACTTCCCTCATTGGCAGAGATAAACTTCAGCCATCAGAACAACTAAGATGACCCCATGCACAACAGCACAAAGGTCAGTCATTAACATACTGTTCCACAGTTTGGACTAGTACCTACAAAAAATACCTGATCCTAATCTTAATGTCCCTTTGACATCTTAGCACTGCTGTTATTCTTTTGTGAAGTGTCCAAATGTTTGGGACAGTACACAGAAATGGTGCCAGTAAGAATCTGCAGAGGTCTAGGCTTGTTGCTGTTACATCATCACTCAACGAGAGGATATGATGTTTTTAGTTCTGCACTTCTCAAGTTGCCATAAACCCTAATATAGCTTAAAAATCCACAAAAAGGTCACAAAAAATGTCACAAGATGCAACAATCAAAAAATAAAATAAAAACAAAGTCTGATAAAATATCAGTTTTTATTCTAACATTTACCTTCATGCCACAGTCTGCCATTAATGTCCTTCTATGCTTTGGATAACAAAGTTGAGCATCTGGGGAAAAAAGTCCTCAACAGCCATCAAGAAAAATTTTGTTGTCATTGGCAACAAAAAAAGTCCACTTTCAACTTAATTCAAGGACAGCAACAGGAGAACAGAAATGAATAGTCAAATGTAACTTCCAAAATGCTTTATGCACAAATAACACTCAGGTAATAGTTTTTTCTTTTCTTTCTTTCTTTCTTTTTTTTGTTTTATGTTTTTTAGAATAAAATGATATTTGAATAACATTTACACATCAAGCTGACGAGACTGGGATCTCAATCACAATACTACTGGAAATGTAACTTATGCAATCCAGTAAGGAACATTCAAGATGTCAAAAATTACCATGTTGACTCAACTATCAGGGATAGTGCTGCAAATTACCTCATAACATGCACTGAAGCGTAACACAAGTGGCCATTCAAAAAACAAAACAATAAATAAATAAATAAATAAAAGATGTTAAATTAAAATTGTGCCTCAAGGAGTCATTATTTTGGGTGATATGTCAAAATGATTTTTCTCTCTTATGTAAATGCATAATTTTTCAGGATGCAGGGTCCCTTTGGCTTCTTATGACACTTGCTCAGTGTATTTGCTGATGTACACTTTTCACTTTCACTATTGCACTTTCCATCATTTTCTTCACCTACCATTCACATACTTATTATAAGCAACTGTGCATGCAGATTATGTACATTTTTAGCTTTGTCATGGTGTCAGTGGGTATATTTTCTGAAATGATTTGTCTGTTTAAAAAAGAAAAAGCCAATTTGCTGCAACTAGTTCAATTTCAAGCTGTAAGTAGAAAACAATTAATATTCACAAGGCATTAAGGGGAATACGCTTACTATGAGTTTTATCTGAAGATTGATACTACTCACATATCTGTTAAATATGAAACGACAGCTAGCTTAAGGTTCATGTAGCGTAAAGATTTGAAGCAGAGAAATATGTACAGCTAGCCTGTTTCTATCAAAAAGGGTTAAAAATGAACATACTAACATCTCTGGTGACTCTAGGAAGTCCTTGCTCCTGGCCAGGATACAGTCCACACTGCCATAACCTACCATAGTGTACATCATAGATTAGCTAACAGGGGCTGACCCAGAAACAGGCAGGCTGGTGGATAGTGGTTTCCCAGAGTGCCCAGTCTTTGCGCTAGGCTTAGCTAAGTAGATACTTGTAGCTTCATATTTAACAATCAGAAGTGGTACCAATCTTGCCAACATGTTAAACTATTCCCTAAAAATCCACTCTAGAGATGCAACCTCACAGCTGGATGTTTTTTGACAAAGTAAGGCACAGTGACTAAAACAAGTTAATGCTTTTTTTGTTTTTGTTTTCAACATTTGAATAACCGCGAGCGTCACAATAAAACTGTGTCAGATAAATAAAGGTATTTTTTCTCTTGGAATAGTTTTCAAAACAGGGAATTCTGTCAGCATCACTGAAATACGTAAAATGAAATTTACAAGATAAAACTAACATCAGGGCAAACATGAGTACCAAAAGAAAAACATGTTATAGCTGGATGAATGCTTGTGTGCTATTTTACATACTGTAAGAACAACAGACACAATCACAGTCCAACATGAAAAGTTCTTCACAACTTTAAAAATAGTAACATTTCCTGTATCCCCACTATTCCAGACACCCATTTATGACCAATGCCAGTTAGCGTTTTTCACCAGGGGTCTGATTTTCATTAATATACAAGCCCACAAGTTATGTGCTATAAAGTGTTCCTTCTCCTCACAGCTTTAAGTCTGTGTGAGAGCTGATGCTTTCTCTCCACTGCTTTTGAGGAGCTGGTCCTTCCCCTGTTGTGGAGAAGACTGCTTCCCGTCAGTATTTTCCCAGACTTCATATCAGGTCATCAGTCTTTACTGGCTCTCACGAGCCTTTTTGATTCCAACTTGGGGCAGGAGGGAAGGGAGTAAGAATGGGTGGAGGATCAAATGTGTTGTCTGCTGGAAAAAGGCAGTCTCAGGTGCAGTGTGTGGACACAGGGAGGAAAACGATGGACCAAAGACAAATGAGAGTTGCATACTGTGGACACCAGGGACAGAATGGAGGGAGGTAGATGACCAGATGGGTTGGAAGGATCTGGGGCACAGGAGGAGCCCTATGAGGCCAGTCTAACCCTCATCTTCAATCTCTTCTTCCAGAGCCTCCTCAAACACTCTTTCTGGTAGCCTGAAGCACTCCTCAAAGAAGTTCACCAAGGACTGACTGAGATGCTGCCTCGTTGCTTCACTGTGGATGAAGTGGCCCTCGTCTGGGTAGATCTTAAACACAAAGAATAAGGGAAGAACATCACTTGAATTCAGTGTTTAGTAATTCTTAATTTTTTTTTTATTTAACCAAAATTAATTACAAAATCATTTACTGAACTTCTAGGGGACTAGCATTCATGCTAGTCATGCTACTAATATGATTACTGAATGGTATATCTGAAGAAACTGGATACAAATGACATTTTTGGTCTTTAAAAATCTTTTTCTGATGCTGATGAAATACACTTCTGAAGTGTGCAGCAGGGTGGCACAGTGGTTAGCACTGCTGCCTCACTCTGTGGAGTTTGTTCTTCGATTGCAAGGAGGCTACAAAGCTCTGTGTTTCGTGAGGTAAATTGGTCTTTCTGTCAATAGCGTCTAAATATAGTGTACACCTACAAAGAAACACAGCAAAGTTTTTATCTCAGGTAGCTAAAATCAGTTTTCATGCTAACAGCTTTACTTTGTTTAGTTCCTCTGCTGGTTGGCAGCAATCTATCATTTTACATGGACTGTGGATCACAAGCTCACACAATCAATTGATTTCAGTTTTATTTATATACCACCAAATCACAATATCAGTTGCCTCAAAGCACTTTTTATTAAAAGGTATTGACCCTACAATAATACCATCCTGGCAAAGTGAAAACAACAGTTTACTCCAGGGGTGTCAAACACAAGGCCCAAAATCCAGCCCAATGGATGGCTTTGGAAAATATGAAGGAGGGCATACATTTTGAACCTTTAATTGTATTTTAATAAGTTTAAGCGTTTTCCTGCATATAAAGACCTCCCCCACGACAATTTATACTATAGCAGAGTAATTAAGTAATAGATCAATTAATAACATTAATAACAACTCTTTCTTAATTATGTAGAAAAACTGAAAAATGTTATTGAAATTTCAGATTTTTTTACATTTAGGGATCTCAGGGATTAAATGTGTAGTTGAACTGTTATTACTAACAGACAAGGTATCTTCACTGGTCTGGCTCACTTACGATTAGATACCTGTTCAGCTGCATGTCAATGCAAATATCTAATAACATGACAGCAGTTCAGTACAGTTAGGCATGCAGACATGCTCCAAATAAGCAACGGAATAGGGAAGAAAGGTAATTTTAGTAACCTTTAATGTATTGTTGGTGCCAGTAAGACTGGTCCGAATATTTCAGAAACTGCTGCTCTACCAGGACCATTTCTATGGTTTAAAGAGACTAGTTTGAAAAGTGAGTGGTAGTTCTCTTAGTGAAAATGCCTTGTTGATGTTAGAGGAGAATTGCCAATCCACTTTGAGCTGATAGGAAGGCAATAGTAACTCAATTAACCATTTGATTATAACCTAGGTATACAGAAAAGCATCTCTTAATGTGCAACATGTCCAACCTAGAGCAGCTAAAGACCACACCAAGTGTTCAGAGCATGAAGGTTTCAGTTTTCCTGTTGCAACACTGGGATGGCATATACAGGGTGTTATCAAAAGAATAATCCGGTTATAAAAGGCTATACCTTTTAAAGTAATGTACATAGAAGCTTGGTTTAAATTTTTAAATACATGGCTGAACATAATGTTTTACATACAAAACTTACAATGTTCACAAGTGCTCAATATGTCGCCCTCCACACGCATGGCAAATGTCCATACGATAGTTAAACTTGTCCCAAATTTTTGGGAACATGTTTGGACTCACTGTAACCACTGCTACCTACCAGCAACTATGTGAAACTCGTGAATCCCCTCTTTCTAACAGTAAATGTTTCGCTTGTTACTGGTGTAGGACTGCAGAATTAAAGCACTTTGAAACTGGACGACTTTTGTTTGATATACCCTGTAAAATATAAAAGCATGGATCCTGTCTTGCATCCATGGTTCAGGTTGTTGCAGTTGTGTAATGGTATGGAGGATATTTTCTTGTCACACTTTGAGCTCCTTAGTACCCACTGAGCATTGTTTAAATGCCATAGCCTACCTTTGTGATAGCAGCCGATTAACACATCATTTCGCTCAAATCATGTCAAACTGGTTTCTTGAACACAACAGACAGTTCGCTGTACTCAAATGACTGAATTTGGGATGTGGTGAAATGGGATATTCACATCACTGATGTGCAGCCACCAAATCTGCAGCAACTGTGTAATGCTATCATGTCAATACAGACCAAAATCTCTGAGGAATGTTTTCAGCTCATCTTTGAATCTGTGCCAGAAGAATTAAGATAGTTCTGAAGGCAAAAGAGGTTCCAACCTGGTATTAGCAAAGCTTATAAACTATCTAGTAAGTGTATATTACCAGAGCTCAAAGTGTTTTTCAACCGACAGTAACTAAGTGATAGTGTTTATTTGAACCCATCATAAACTAGTAGAGACCTAATATTAATACTGTGCACACTAATGTGTCTGTTGGTCAGTAATGAGCTTTGATGAACATTCGCCAGCAGAGCATTGTGTTATAAAGGGATTAGTCCTGGTGTTAATGCAGGATGCCCAAGGAGGTCTTATAATCTCATTATGTGTGAGGCAGACATTGTGAAGGGCTAATCCTCTGCCTGCTGCGAGACCACCACTGGGATCACAAAGCTCCCAGAGGTTGGACTGAACAGGGAAAAGAAAGACTGCATACCTGTAGGGTGTAGTTGGCCTTTTCACTGATGAGCTGGGCAATGAATTTCGCTGTATGTTGAAAGTGGACTTTTTCTAAAGAAACCAAATGAGACAGATTATTGTTTATCTTTTACATATTCAGTTATGAAGATGATTATAATTCCTGACCTACCGTCAGCTGTAGGATGGATAATCAGAAACTTCTTATCCATAAACTGAGACGCTCTGTGGGCTAAATTTGCCATCTAAAAAACACATTTGAGCAGATTATTTTGATAATTATTACAACTGGAAAGAAAATGAAAAAAAAAAAAAAGTAATAAAATCTTACCGTGTATGCTCTTGTGTCAGGTTTGGGCAGTCCAAGGTATCTCTCAGAAAATGCAGAAGCTAGAGGGGGAAATAGGCTTCGGTTAACTTTTATTAGCTTTGTTGTTAAGATAAAATCAAATCTTCCATTAATCACTCTTTGTTTGAGGGTGGTTTTTTATCCCTATGTCTAAATATATTCAGCCATCTACATATTCATTAGTTTTGAGGCTGTTACAAGAGTCTTCATTTGCAATTCCGCAATTCCAGTGTCATGGCACGTCTCTCACCGCCTCTGGCAGAGCGAGAGAAATCAAATAGATAGGAAATCAGTCACACCGCAACGCCCAGCTCCTCCTTAATTTGCACTTTCCTGACTCGGTGCGCCTCCAGCTACAACAGCACCGCGCCTCGTTCCTTGTTCCCTGCGTCTCTCGTACTGTCACTCCCTCGGTGCACAGCACTTCTGCATTTCACACATTGTATTCCTCGGGTAGCCGAGGTGAGGCTGGTGTTGTTAACTTCGTCTGGCGCTGATGTGATTGAGTTCTAGGTTTGTCTGCACCATCATACTCATGAGTGCCTACTTGCGTGACGCAGTCCCTGAAAAGATATCCCCGCTGTGGGGTTAAAGGTGCTAGATTTGCAATCTGTCTTCCCTTTTCCTCTGAATATTCTGTCAGTGCTGCCTGAGCCTGACTGATTATGCAGGGTTACTGCATTTGTTTAGTACACGTAGCGGAGTGGTGATTTTTCAAATGCAAAAAGCTGCAAACAAACACAGCTTACCATACAATTCAAAATCTGTGATGGGTGAGAGGACAGCGCCGCATTTTACAGGAGATTCCTCACCGCTGACCAACAGGCTGGTCACATAGCCTCCATACACCTGAAGTACAACAACTGCATGTTAACACAGAGATACTCGAGTGTAGAATGGACTATTTTGGTCAATCTTTGGACCCAGAATGCACATACTGACACTATTCTTACCTTTCCAAATGCTCCGACTCTGTTTTTGTCAACATAGGGCTCCTTTAGAATAAAACTGTCAAAGATAAACATTGGTTCAGTTTGACTTTTAGAAAAACTGTCTCACAGTAGCAGCTGTAGCTCTAACTTACAAGATGTTTTAGCAGCTGTTTGCAATAAACGATCCATTATACTATATTAAATTCACAGTGTTTGTTTAACACTTGCACATTAAATGCACGTTTTCAGTTCTGCCAGACCAGCTGCTATCAGTGTGTGTGCAAAACATATTTTCACAGCAGTAACTAATGAAGAATTTACAGATGATAATGTAAATTTATTTGTGTGTGTGTGTGCGTGTGAATAAATGTGGCTTTAAGATCTGGCAGATGACTTCTGCAAATTACACAGTTTAATGTGTTTTTTCTCAATAAAGCAGCACAACTTTATCCACATACTTAAGTGCATCCTTCTGATCCTGCTCCTCAAACACGCCCAGTTTCTTCTGGATCCGATGCAGCAGGTTGGTGCCCTGGAAGCCGCTGCCTTGCCCGTCACAACGCAGCACGATGGCGCCGAAGCTGCTCACCAGCACCGTGGCCCAATCCAAGTGAAACTGCTCTGACACCATCTGGTCACCAGGTGTCCCATCGCTGCACCACAAGCAGAGCAGTGAAGTGAAATCGAGGCTACCACAAGTGATGCGATCCTTATTTCAGTCCTAACTTTGTGTCCATGTGGAAATAAAGTGCATAACCTTATGTCCCAATTTTCTGCAGTCTATTTTTTAAATTAAACATTTGAGCTATACAGCGCAAGAAAAGCAACAGCAGATGAACAGAAAACAGAGAAAAATGGGGACATGGAATAGAAAAACTTACTCAAAATCAACGGCATGCCTGCTAAATGGTGTAAGAGTTTCAACTGCAAGTTATGACTGTGATGAAGAGGTGAAATAATTCCTAATGATTTAAACTTCTAATAAATCATTTTTACAGGTATGAATGACGATACAATAAATTATAGTAGTGTGGGTTTTTTTTTCTAAAACGGTGAGAAACCTAGATCTGACCTGGAGAATAAAATATAGTTCAAGGCTGGAAGAAAGGAACGCTCATGAAAAAATGGTGGAGAGGAGGTTCAGTTTGCCACAGTGTAACTATTATCCAGCAGGTGTCAGGGACAAAGAAATTTATCTGCTTGGCATGTTTGCATTGATATGGACGGATATGTCCTCATATAACTTGGAGTGGAGACTGCATTGCTAATAGACACACACTTTTGTTGATACATACACAAGCAGGAGCAGAGGGTAGTGTGACGTTTCGACAAAGCCAGCTGGTTTCAGGATCTGCATCGACAAGGCTGCAATGTCAAGTCAAACAACTGTTACACAAAAGCAACTAAGGTCTCTTTCACAAACACAAAACATAACCCCTGGTTCTGTGCACTAAACTTTCTAGCTGTTAGTGCCGCAGTTTTGGATTGCTAAATTAAGTCAAATTGTATGGATGTCTATGAGAAAATGCCTTAATTTATTATCTTTTCGGAGGTAATAGACTTCATGGCTTCAGTTGCTAGCTTAGCAATGCATGTTCAAAGTAAGCTGGATCATGACTGTAGCACAGGAAACAACCCATTTTATATGCTTAAGAACCACAGATAGCATAACTTATGGACACAGCTACTGTGACATCACCTGTTGGCTTCTGAAGGCCAGTTTTGAAGCCTTGAGATGAGCATTTTCATGGCTTGCTGAAAAATTGATGTGACAGGTCTGGCTCTCAAACCGCTTGCTCATTTGACAAGAACTTGTGATTAACAATGAAGAGGAAAATGCCACAGAAATTCCTTTTTGAAACATGATATGGTCGAGATTTACGAAAAAAGTGTGACCAAAAATGGGAGACTAAAACCACATACATACAACAAACTGTTCATAGAGGGCAAGTCCAAGGCTATTTTCCCATTCGCTTCTATATGAATATTTCTCTAGAGTTATCATTTTCCATTTAGAGTGATTTTAATCTGGGCCCACATTTTTCATCTGGCGTTAAACAAATATTAAAGCAGGGTTTTAGAGCTCATGTCACCATATGAGCATTCAGTGTCGTCTGGTTCTCAGGCAGACCTGCCCCTTATTCCTCACATCTGGCTTCAAAACATGAAGACAGCCATCATGATGGCTATGTCCATCTTTTACATACAGTCTACAAATAAAATATATTTCAAACTTTATGGGTTTGTTTTTTTTTTTAATATAAAAAGAAGTGAAATAAGCTCTGTAGGACTCCATCATTAGCATTACGTTCCTAATAATATGCCATTATACAGTAAGAGTCTGGTGGTCTGATACATACTATAGTCGTCCATGTTGATCTCCTTGTACTCCACTATGGGCATCTGCATGGACTCCAAGGTCAGCCTCACTTTCTCATTGCTCTCCAGTTTATAGACTTCTACAATACCTGAAGAGAGTACGTGAGATAACAGTTTACAGTATTTTTGTCAGGCAGCTCATGTTTCAAATGACTGATTTGTTACAGGAGCAGAATAGAGAGTAATCTCCTTATAGATGTGCTACAAGAAAAATTTTAGAGGCGATAAGAAAAATCTCCCCCCCCATGAAACCTAAACATAGATGTTGTAGAGGAGATGTAAAAGCAGGCACCAAATCAAGACGGCCAAATTGGAATGAGATGAGGAGACTTCATACACTAATTCTAATGTGATCTTGTCTCTACCATTGCTTACAGCAGGACATTAGAAAGACCTACAGGTCACTTAGAAAGACATGCCTTTAAATGCAGCATACTGAGTGGCAGGAAAAAAATGGCACTTACAAAAATGCTGTTGTGAAGGTGAATACATCGAATAATATATGGTAATGAAATTTACAGAGTTGTTTTTTAACATATTCAGGACGGGGAGATCTCATTACTTAAAGATGATAAAGACTGGCACACACATACACACTGTAGTAATCAAATTACAGTATGCTGATAGTGCTGTTGGGCAGGTTATAATCTAATGAGGACATCCATTGTGAGGAGTAATGTCATTACGTCTGTCATGCCACACTTGGCCTGTAGACAAACAGTGACTCAGTGCAAAGGTGATCACTTTGCACTACACTGCAAACACTTCTGCCCCCTTTTGACAAGGTCAGGTTAAATATGGCAAATATGGTAATGTAGAGAAGGTCATATCTAATGTGTTTCATTCCATTCAGGCTTGTAAATATTCATTTGTGTCAAAAGGTAGCTTCCAGGGCTGAAAGAGGAAGCAGGAGCGTCAAAACTGGAGTTCTTTATAAAGCCACTAGGGGCTAGCCCCTAAGGTGAGTCAAAAATCTGTTCAAATTCTAATTCAGGCGAAAAATTATAGCTTGTGTACAGCTAATTTCCTCCTACAAAAGTAAATACAATTCTTCTTTAAAAATAAATAAATTGATTTTTAGTTTAAAACTTACACATTTAAACTTTATTAAGAATGTGAATACAGACTGGTAGCAAGGGCGACATTGTTGTGAAGTTTGAAGATCATCCATAAAAAACTGTGGGTAATAAAAAGCTTTTACAGATTTTCCACGTTTGATGTGACCCTGATTTCACCAAAATTAACTTTTTAACTTTGTAAATTTGGACATTTTAACATGAGAAGCTAAGGCAATGACTTGCTTCTGGAGCCAGCCACTAGAGGAAATACACTTTTTGACATGGAGACCTGCTGCTTGGTTGAAATACTCACTTTCTCTGTCTTGTGTCTCACTTTCTGTGTCTCTCTGTGTCTTGTAAACAGCCACAAACGGGATGTCCGGCCCTAAAAAGAAGATCAGAGCTCAAATACTATGTATCTTTATATTTGACCATGACATGTGGACACTCTGACTTACTATGGACTGTTTAAAAAAATAATTTATTTTTAAATCACCATAATATTAATACATAGGTTGCTGTATTTACTATTTGTTTATAGCAAGGGAAAAGTGTATGTTTCCTAACAAATGCACACTGATGCCACAGTGTCCTTCAGTGAATGCACAAAAAGAAAAAAAACCAAAACAAAACCCTGAAAGATACCAGATCATTTGTCTGACAGACAAAGAAGCACATCTTTGCTTATTCAGTTTATGTAATGCAATAGCTCTAATAGCTTTTCCATATCTAGGCCTGCAGGGAGGAGGGGCAGCAAATGAAGTGATTGATGCACTTAGCAAATTGAGAATAAAATAGAGGAACACTGTGGTTGTATTTGTCGAAGAGCAAACCGGCCGCTCTCTCCCTGGCTCCTTTTTCTCTCCCTTACACTCCCTTTCCTCGTGATTATGATATTATAATCTCATCACATGAGATCACAGGTAGGCTGTGAAGGAAAGAACTGCACTACAAATACATGAGGTACAAGATTATTGACTGTCAGAGACTGTCAGAGGTTGAGCACAAAGGGTGTGATTGCATTTTGGTCGGTTCAAGTCTGATCTTAGATCAGTGGTGATCAGTTAGCAAGTATTGACACTGAAGTGTTACATCAGTGATTAAATATTGAGGCTACAGACTTCAAGTCAGACTGAGACACAGTTTCTGCTGCGGCATGACAACAGTGCTGTGACATTTTGATATTTCTCTGATCACCAGGAGAAGATTGTCTCTTCTTTTGATATTGAATAAATGGATCAAAGGTAGGAGAAATGCAATGATATGGGATCTCTTTTTTTATTGGTGAAAGAAGCTTTTGACATTGTGACAAGTAAAGTCATCCGAGCACCGACTCTGTTTTTGCCGTAGTGCTGTCACTTTTCGGTGAACTACCTACCAGCAACACAACAGAAATATGAAATCATTTTAGCAACAACATCTCACCAAAAGAAAATTGGTAGAAACATTTTTACTACAGTGTAATTTCTAAGTACTGTACTGTATGTTTTATATATACTTCACCTCATTTCAAAGACTTTGCTACAGTTGCTCACATTTACATACAAAACATATGATTAGTATATAAAATATCATTACAGGTTTTAATATCGTACACGCACTGTATACATGTTATTGTACATCAATGAGAAAGAGGAAGTAATACAAGAGCACTATTGCACAACTGCCCCCAAAGGGCAGGGGCTATACTAAAACGCTGATATTTTATACTGATGTAATTAATTTTCAATAATGACATCTCCATCGTGACATCATTGTTTTCATAGATCATTTGTGTGGTCCAGTACAGTTAACATGGAAATCTAGTGTGATATATTAATCCTTTGTGTGTCATTGTGAAGTCATACACTGCTTTACTGAAAAAAATATTTTAAAGAGCTCAAAGAAAGTGCTTTATGTCCCACAATGATTTGAAGTTTGGAGATGATCCAGTGGAAACTAAAGCTTTTTCCTAATCTGTGTGACTGTGACCTTTGACCTATTAGCATTATATACTAAAATGGTGTGTTTTATCGTCTTTACACATATGACTGGAGCAGAATTGGCTGAAATCCTTGGCTTCTATAAGCTGTAAAAACATACATAAACACATGAAATTATATTTTTTTATAATGTATATTATATATATTAACATTTTGTATGTCATGTAACTTTATAGGCCATCGAATTGAAAAAAAAAAATGCCCGTACATCTTTCTCCAGGCCCTTTCGTAAGATATAGTACTCGATTTATCATATTACAAAAACTGATCTTGGAGATTTTTCACATTTGGTGTGACCCTGATTTTAACATCTGTCTGATGATTTAGCTTCAACATCAGATAGATGTTGAAGCTTAATAAAGGCATTACTTGAATGTGCATTCAAGTACACCAAGCTACAGATTACTGAGAGAAACAGACACACCTATAGCAATGACTACAAAAACCATCCCTTTTATGTGATTAAATTATTACAGTAAGTCAAAGGACACATACATGACTAGCAGTGTAGGATGTGTATTCTCTTAAGTGTAGCTAATTTATTATCATATAAACTTCAAAACAAACAAAATTTTAAAGCTTAACATTATGACACAATATGACATTTTATCCAATGTGTACCCTCTGGCATATGCTTATCATGTGTAATACAACAGGATATTATGTGGTTGCATTTTAACAGCCTGCACTTCTCTTTCGACTTCTTCTTTCTAAAGCTTTTTACTGTTTTGAGGCTTTTAAATATTCATTTATGCTTTTAAAGGCTAATTTAACATCTGGCCAGGGGTCAACAGTTGAAAAATTACCCAGTGGTAATCTAGTAAACTCACTGGTACACTTGTAGTAATGTTGATTAATGTGTATTGTCCCTGAAGGTATAAACAAATAAGAAATGCAAACTGGAGGATTGGCCATTTATATGATGGCTGATTTATCATCACAGAATTGCATTGTCTCCTTGCACATGGCACACTGTGATGTAATAAAAATAGCAATGCCCATTTTAAAAGTTTGCACTCATGCACTTTGTAACTTCATTGTTAAAAGAGAGTCCTGTGTGACATCTTTAAGTGGATAAGCTAAACAGAGGCTGAATTCACACATGCTACTACCTTGGCAGTTGAGCAGGAAGTAGCTCATGTTGAGGCTGAAGGAGCCACTGATATATCCACAGCTGTTGGACAAGGCGCAGGTCAGACAGCGACGGTTGAATGAACCAAATGTGTCCGCACTATGGAAATAAATATGAGTGTTTGTTTTTAACATTGAAACTAAAAAACACTTTTTCCCAACTATCAAAGCCACTAGTTTTTCAAGTGCAGGGTAAGTTCGAACAGCTATTACCTGTACAGATGCCGTCGCTTTGGACCATCTTCAGTGCTCAAGAAGTATCTGTGTAAACATAAAAAACGCAAAAATGGAATGACAGTCATGTATAATTGTTATTTTTGGTCTACTCTGTGACTTTAGCAGAGCTGTGTTCCCCAGTCAGCTTTGGGACTACCCCAGTAATACCCCGACTAGAAAAGATGTTTTATAAAAGAACCCAGAACAGAAATGGGACAAATCTTACCCCCATTTGGCTGGGATTTTTTCAAATCCCTGCAACTCTCAGGGAAAAAGAGGAACTGTGTGTCTATATATGTTTGGATGAGGGTATAAATATGTGAAGTCATGTTAGTCAGATCACAGTGGGAGTGTAATTATCAGGGAGTGATGGGAATGAGTCACACTCCTCATGGGTGCAATGGAGACTCGAGGCAGTTTTTATGTGTGCATTCAGGGCAGTTTGTTGTGTGGAATTGTTTGAGGTGGCACAGTAGAGCATCTATTTCCCAATATTTCAGCCCTAAAGACCATATCCAGTATATACCTATAATAAAAATGAAGAATGATTTTATTGTCAAACCACTGAAACGATGGGCTTGCCTCTGTCCATGGTGCTGAATTTCTAGCCTTGTTTATCTGTTTATCATTTATGACCACATAAGACTCTTCAAGCGTACCTTGCAAGTTATGGGTTGGGCACCCTTTTGCCTTCAATCCTGTCTTAATTCTTAATGACATAGATTCATCAAGGTGCTGGAAAAATTCTTAGAGATTTTGGTCCATATTGACATAATAGCGTCACACAGTTGCTGCAGATTTGTCTGCAGATGCCACAGTGCAAATCTCCTGTTCTCTTATATCACAAAGGTGATACCTGGATCCAGATCTGGTGACCGTGAATTCCATTTGGGTTTTCCAATCTTCTGTTGCCCAATTTTGGTGTGAATTGTAACCTCAGTTTATTCTAAGCTTATTGGAGTGGCACTCAGTGTGGTCATCTGCTGCTGTACCCCATCAAGGTTCAATGTGTTGTGCATTCAGAGATCCTCTTCTGCATATCTTAGTTGTGGTGAGTTGTTACTTGAGTTACTGTTGACTTCCTATCAGCACTCTTGGAATTCTATCCTGACCACTGGCATCAACAAGGCATTTTCACCCAGGGAGCTATTGTTAACTGGATATTTTTCATTTTTTTGACCATTCTCTGTAAACCCAAAGAAATGAAGATGAAGAGAGTATGGGTAAATATCAACAGATCAACCTGCCTGGCACCAACAACCATGCCCAGTCAAAGTAAGCTAAATAATTTTTCTTTGCCATTCAAAGCTTGGTTTGAAGTTCTGCAGATATTTTTGAGGTTACATAACCCAATTAGATGTTTGCGTTAATGTGCAGTTGAACAGGTGTATCTAACAAAGTGGGTGGTGAGTATAGAGTAAATGTAAACAGTCGCAAATGTGTGGTAACATGCTTTTTAGTATGATTGAGTTCTGGTGGCGGCTTGGGGGTTTGTGCATGCTCACATTAGTTGGTTCTCCTCGTTGTAGGCCAGAACTTGAGTGACATCCCAGTCTCCAGATGTGATAGATTGCAGTGTGTCTGTACTAATGTTGGGCTGTGGGTGTAGAGAAGCAAAAACAGCAAAAATATGATAGTTATCCTCCAATGCCACCAACAGTTTCTGTATGTGACAGGAACAGGACAAATATTTCACTACAATCACTGTACAAAACATCAGATGTACCACCTTGGCAATTTACAGGTGACAGAAACTGCTGCAAATAATCATCTAGAAGGAATTATGTATGCAAAATGTCTTTTAAACAATTTTTCATTAATATGGGCCACACTTTTTGAAAGTTTGATATGAAAGGTTCATCAGTTCCAAGTTAACTTCATGTTAGTGATGCAAATACTTGGCATACAAATATTCTCTCACCTGGGAGATGGACATGGAGATGTGAAAGAATTTGCCCCTGCCTCCTTGAGGAATGGCCCGTGTGAAGAACAGCTTCAGACCATCTTTGGAAAAGAGCGGCTTCTCATTCTGAATACACAGAGAGGGTTGATCTAAGTGTTTTCACTTAACAAGACATAAAATAAAGACTGCTACAGACAACTAAATATGCAGGCTGCTTAATGCAGTAATTATACTGGCATTCCCGCATTATAATTTAAAAAGACAGCATACACTGCTTGGAACAAAGCCATGTTAAATTTAAAGCTTGAATTTAATGACTGTGCATGTCGTCAGGCAAGAAATGCCAGGCAACAAAGCAAGTAAACAGTGGATATAATTTAATGACTGCTACAAAGGAAAGGATAAGTACCTCAGTGCCTTAATACTCTAAATCCACCTTACACACACGTGTGTATTATGATTCTCACCTGCCTGTGGAGCCACCCTTCACTTTCATCTTCGTGTTTCTGTGGAAACAGATAAACAGACTTCAGTTGGGATAAAGAAACAGCCTTTCATACTTGCGGCACATGTGCCGTGCACACTGTGCTCACCTTAGTGCAGACTCCCGTTGTAGCCTGACACAGTGTGAGGATTGAGATGTTCTGTGCTCTGTTCAGCCAATTAATGGCTAGTTTGGTGGTGGTGGCCCATTTCACCATGGTCACATAGTACTCACTGGCAAACAGAAAGCATATTTAGCATTTATTATCGTTGGTATCAGCTGCAATGCGAGTAAAAATAAGATGATGGAAAAAGTGGTTGCATCTGAACACAGAGAAATCAAGCAGTGTATAAAGAGGTGGAAAAATAGGCTGTAAATATGAAGAGACTAAATAGAGGCATTAAACTTAAACACAACACCCTATTAAGGAAAAATGCATCACTGGGGACAGAAAATCCCCCAGTCTGTGCAGCATATCATATAATAAAAATACCCACTATGACTCTGTAATATACTGTATTCAAAAATATTTTATTATCCAAAAATCCATATTGCTTTGCATCACCTATGATAACACATGTATATACAACTCATATTTAGGACTTTTCTGTTGATCTACAGATTTGTGATTCTGAACATAAATTTTTTTTTCATCCTCATTTTTCATCCATGTACAGGAAAGGTATAAATCTCCATATTTGGACACTGGATGGGTCGGCAGGGAAGCCACTTACATCACTTACAAGTCCCTGATTAGATGTATTTTTAACCTTTACTTGTTTTACTTTACATTTTAAGTTATTGTTGTTACTGATTTACATAATATACAGGGTGGCTGTAGCTCAGGTGGCAGAGCAGGTCAGCCACTAATCAGAAGGTCGGTGGTTCGATCCCAGGCTGCACCCTGGCTGCATGCCAAATATCCTTGGGCAAGATACTAACCCCGTGTTTGCCTACTGGCGGTGGTCAGCGGGCACGGTGGCGCCAGTGTCCGGCAGCCTCGCCTCTGTCAGTGCGCCCCAGGGCAGCTGTGGCTACAATGTAGCTTGCTATCGCCAGTGTGTGAATGTGTGTGTGAATGGGTGGATGACTGAATGTAGTGTAAAGCGCTTTGGGGTCCTATGGACTAGAAAAGCGCTATACAAATGCAGGCCATTTACATAATTAATGATTCATTAAAAAATATTTATCTGAACTGGGGACTCTAAACACTCTAAATCCTACAAAAGTTATAAACCCTCTTTAACTGAAGCTTAAAGTCTGTCCTGCAATCACATCTTGACTGTTTGTACAGATATGCCAAAAAAAAAAAAGCCAATGATTTTCCACCGGTTTTATGTGACTGCAAATCTGAGCCAAATCTACGATGTGTAAAATGTGCATCGGTTGACTGAGCACAGAGGTAGAATGTTTGATAGTTTTGGATGACTCACCCTATCCTGGGATCATCAGGCCTCCTCATTTCAATGGTGTGCAGAGGGCCGTTAAGGTTCACGACATAAAGAGTGATGACTGGATTTTCCTCTCCAGCCTGATCAGAATGAAAACAAAGTGAGTAACTGAGCATAATGTCCCATAAAAAAACAAAGCAAAACATAAAAACACTTTGCTTAAACCATTCTATTTCTACAATTTAAACTATCTGCATCAGTACAGATGTTTAAAGAAGGAAAAAGTATACCTTAGGGTAATGGTACTCTTTCCCTATTGGGTAGGGTGAGCCTGTAAACATTGGCAGCTCCATCCTGGGCACCAAGGTGTCATTGATGGTGGCGTATGCTAACCTGGCACCATCTGGAGACCACCAATGGGCAATGTGGGACTGGAAAATCTCCTCTGGAAGAGCAAATAGAAAATGACCATCAATCATAATCATAGTGAATAACACAATCCAACAGCAAAGACAAAAGTTAATTACATAGCTGCAGGCCAACAGCATCACACGGTTGTTACTTGTTGGGATTATAATGGAGCAGGTGTTCTGGGGAAAAACTGCATTTTGGAATTTATAAATGCTCTTTATGATTACTAGCACTATTTGTATTGGTTTGCCTCCCTTTTCTTTCTCCCACTGGTCAGCATATGTGACTTATGCTTGACTTTCTTTTCCTTTTGACAAGTCAGGGCTAAACAGTATGATAACTCCCTCCTGAAAGTAGAAAATCCCTCAACTATTCAGGTGAAAGAGCAAGTTTTTCTTAAATCCTCCACATGCCAAAGTGCCCTTGACCAGGACACTGAGCCACAATTGGTGGGTGAGTGTTTGTATGAATAGGGGAAGGAGAAGCATTGAGGATTATTTTTAAAATACTACTGCTGACTATTTCCCTAATTTGGTCAAACTGATAAAAGATTCAAAGTTACCCTTTTTGTCCTCTCAGCAACATACTATGCATACAACTATACTTTGTGCCTGAGCTGCTAAATTTGGAATCTCCCACTCACTATCTGTCAAACCTACATGTGAAACCACTTGCTACCCAAAAGTTTGAAGTCATAAATCACAACAGCATTTAATCTCAGTACACAGCATGCTGACCAAAATAGAACTCAGCTACATTTCCCTGAAATAAACCTAACAGCACTTTCTCACCAGGTACCACAGTGCAGATAAGTTTCTGGGTCGTTACTACATTTCTGTGTGTACCATTTTCAGCAAGAGGCTCAGCTCATTTCAGGTCGGTGACCTAGACATTTCCCCCGAGCCCCTCTGTGTGCAAGCATGTCCACATAAAATAACACAGCGATCACAGACACTCCTGTTTTACATATCGTTAGCTTCATAGCATAAGTGCCTAAGTCATTTTTTGGTCAAATTGAGATTTTTGCCTAACTTTACTCCCCTACCACTGCTGCATCATCCTGTCCGTCTGAAACACAAAACACAAAAAAATGACTTAGGCACTTATGCTATGAAGCTAACGATATACAGAGAGAATAATGGGGAAACGAGAGCAGTCTAGGTCCTTCATCTCCTTTGCAACACAAAGACAGACAGACAGACACACACAATTGCGTCTGTCAACACAGAGTGTCTCATTAGGAAATTATGCAAATAAAATCTCACTGAGGGAACTTTTTGGCAGCATAAAGCATAGCCTTGACAATCCTACTTCATTACTAAGTCTGTGGCGACAATGCAGACGGTATCAAAAACACTCCGACTCATTGTTACAGCCTGCCACTAGCTACATTTATATCAACTTTTGCAATTAAAACTTCATTAATGCTGTTTATCTGTGGGACTGGGTGCTGGCTTTGGGGAATTAACAACATCAACTACCAATTTGCATTTTCATTAACCACGCATCGCTTGGTGGAATTACTTGATATGCAGCATCATTTGTCAAACACCTCCGGTACAAACGCTTATGTACATTGTTCTCTTACACAGTTCTGCAAAAGTAGTTGTGCTTGTAACTTTCTACTGATGGACACTGTTTCATGTGTTTCAGACTATTGTTTGCCTTATTTTGTAATATAGTATCTATCTATCCATCTATCTATCACTATCATATCTATATCTACTATATATATCTTATATCTATCTATATATCTATATCATCTTATTATATATCTATATCTTATCTTATATCTATATCTATATCTATATATCTATATATATCTGATATATCTATTCTATCTATTTCGTGATCTACTCTATATCATTATCTATCTATCATATATTCTTAGGGTAGTATCTATATATATCTATAATATATACGTATTTTTACTATATATATATATCCTATTATATATATATATATGTATATATATTATATACCTATATATATTATTATACATACATATAATATACTAATATAATATTTATACTATTAATATATAAGTCATATATTATATATATCACAATTAAACAACATATATACATACATACATATATCTATTGCAAGCATATGGAGAAGTAAATTTGTCTTAAATTAGCTAAAATGAGCATTTGAAGTGCTTTAAACACTCTATTTCAGGCAGATATTTCTATGCTTGGATCTGTATGAAGTTAAAGGGTGGGGATATCCCTAACATGGAAATCTCAGTTACTGTCAAAACACAAGGCCCACCCACCTGCTGTTCAAAACTATTGTTTGCCAAACGCAACCAATCAGGCGTATAGAGAGAAGGAAGGGAATATACTGTAGCTGCACCAAGGGTCGGTATAAGTTATATAAGAATTATTGTGAATTGTGAATCATGCAAAGCTACACTTGTTGAGAGTTGTTGTTGTTGTTGTAAACAAAAATATGAGTTGAAAATGAGCTGAATAGGTTCGAACCTGAAACAATACACATCCCTGCGGAAGTAACATTATAAGGAAAAAGGCTAATGGAAGCCTTTAGTCCCATTAGTCTTTGCTCTTTTAGTCTCCCTTGTGTGCCCACTTGCACCCTGCTGACAGTGCTCAGTGGGGAATGATTGGATCTCACTGTCTGATGCTGAACAGAGCAGCATAGGACAACAAAGCACTGATTGCATTTTCAAATGGTGAAAAATAAAATAAAATATAAAAATGATTTCCCGCATGGCCAATTCTACCGCTGCGTGCCAACTTCACCGGCGGCAGCTTAAAAGGCTTTCCGCGCGGAGTGGAACGGCCGAGCTGTCAGATCCACTCGGCTGGGGACGCCCAGTCACCTTGGCCAGTCAAGGAGAAAGCAGTTACGTCTCTGGAAGTGTCCTGATAGGTGTGTGATTACAAAAGAATGTGCAGGGACAAAAGAGAAACCAAGAGAAGAGGCTGTGAGCGAACCACTTTTAATGAGCCAGCTCTCATTTTCTCTCTTAAGTAATGAGATCACATCTCCTGTCTTTTTACAGCCCACCTCATTGTGACGAATACGAAGGTGAGCTGTCGGAGGCTCATCTCCTTTGTCCATGTTCTCCATCCTGGTGTGCAGACTACATTATACACTGAGTAGAGGACATTATTAATGCATGAGATGCCATAAGTCAAGCAGCCATTGGGAAATAATGAGTGCAAGGTGACAGACTCAGGAAAGCTGAGCTAACAAGAAAAAAAGAAAATCAGACATCCAAGGTTGCAAATAGTTGATTTTTAAAAAAACATTAACAGGATACAAAAAATATAAAAATGCTGCAAATATTCCGTAAACTGTGGCACAATAACACCACGAATCCTTCTGAGTGTTTAGAAAAAAATGACCACATGCATCCAACAGAGGGCAGCAGAGAAACATGCCAAACACAAGGTGAAGAAGCAATGCAGCACAGAGGGAAAGCCTACCTTTGTCTTTAGTGTCTGGTGCATACTTCTAGGTCACTGCTCCTCTGTTTTGGAGTCCAGCTATTTTTCTCTTTGAGATGAGTTGTGTTTTTGACATTTGTATCTATACGAGCTATAACATTTGCATTAACCCCCCAGTCACCTCTGCCAAAACAAACAAACAAACAAAAAAACCACACAAATCAATATTTGACATGTCCAATTAAGTGAATTTTAACCACAGAGCATGGAATTGAATACAACTACATATACCTGGCATGGTCAAGCCCTGCTAGCCCTTTATTCTGGCTTGCCAACAACCAAACTGGTTAGATGGCATGAAAATCTAGTCTTCCGGCCACAAAAATATGACAATAAAGTAGCTGATACTAAATACAGCACAACTATCAGTGTGTAGATTGAGGATGTGTTGCAAGTGATAATTAAGCATTAGCAGAGAAGCACATGACAGAAGAAGTGAGATTTTGCAAAGCATCTACAAAGCCTGCAAATAATCTGTTTGTAGTTCTGGCTTAGGAAACCGAAAGATCAACACTGTATTACAGGGCATTGGTTTTGCAGGTTTATATTCAGAAAGGAGATTTTAAAAAGGTACAAGAGGATTTAGCCACTTTACAGCTACACATTTTGCAACAGTTCACTTCCTGTAATTTCAGTTCAGTTATATTTATCTAGCATCAACTGGCAACACAAGTCAGAGCAGGACACTTTACATGATAAGGTAAAGAGTTTCCTCTAACCAAGAACTTGATAAGTAGCTTCAACATAAGCCCAGCATTTTGCACATTAACAAAAAGATGCGATGTGAACATGTTACAGTTTTTAAAAATAGAGGGATGACTGCAGAAAACAGCATTTGTGGGTTTACAAGGTTAAACTGACGCATGTTTTTATTCTTTCCTCAAACACGCTTTGTAAAGTCGGCATTTAGTTTTTCTAGTTATAAGGTGCAAGCCAATTTACTTTGAAATATAGACCTCAAACCTCATGAGGATAGTGACATTTTTCACAAAGTTGAACAGCGTCCAGTCCAGACATAACGTTATGGCTTCTGCTGCCTATAGCAGACACTTACTGAACTGCAGTCTGCAAAACATAAGGTCCAGCAATTTTGAGCTTAAACTTCTTCAATTTTGTAACTTCTTTGGTCTCTTATGAGTACCACTTTAATGCTACACTCCCCACAAAATATAGGATAAGGTAAAGAAAAAGACAAAATACCACACTTCAAATGTCCTAGTCAGCAAGAACAAAATACTCACAATCTGTCTCACATCAAAAAAGAAATACGTGCTTTGGAACAGAGCCTTTGTCAGAGCACTAGAAGTAAATACAGTCAGTTCAGTGTTATACACAGGGCAGCTTGAAGTTGGACCTAAACGTAAAAATGTTTCACTGAATCTAAATAATTGCAGGTACGTAATTACATTTAATTTTGGCCTCATTACACATACAACAGAAAACACTAAACTTCTTACACTAGTACCTCTTGAGCACCAACAAGAAGATGCACTCATGAATGAAAACAAAGTGACCAAAAATAATTATTACTTTTTATTAGCTTCACTGTCAGTATTTG